CCTGCGAGAATACATTAAAAGTAAAGATTTTTTGAGAAGCCTTGCCAGAAACAGGAAAGCCCGCTGTGACTAGCGTGGTTGACGGACGCGTCAACACACAAGTTAGGTTTTCACCATTGGAACCTGGGGGAATTTTGGGCCCCCCCGAAAAATGGAGACAGGCATTCCAATCGAGCAGCTCTATAAAGAGATAGAGGCTCAGATTCTGAGTGGTCTGGATAAAGAACATAGGAACAAGGCAAAACGAAAGGCTGTGAAAGCATGGGAAAAAATACAGAACAAAAGGGTCATACCTGAGTATATGACAGGGTCCGCATTAGCTAATATTTTGCGGGAAGAGGAAAATAATTTAAAACAGGACAAACAAGTGCTCGAGGGAAAGCAGGGAGAGAGTTGGAATGAGCGTAGGAAAATTAAGAAGGAACTAAAAAAGGCTGAGAAACTGAGGACCAAGGTACATAACTTTGCTTTGGCTGCCACGGCGTTGGCAAAATTACCTATGGTAAGTAAAGACAAGGAAACAGAAAACGGAGCAATGCCGGTGAGTAATATATACCCATCCCTACCCACGGCTCCACCAAAATATTCTCTGGGTTTAGAACCAGGTAAGCCAAATCTAATACTGCCACAATATACATTTTCAGGAGAAGTGGCGGTAGAAAAGAGAGGGGACAATGACTTTGTAGACAGGGAATTTGACGAAGGGACAGAAGAGGAGTCTGTGGGGGACAATAGAGATCCGAGTCAAAATCCAGCTGTCAGCCTCCCGCCACAGCTCCCACACACCCCTCACCAACCCCCACCCATCCAAGAGGTGCAGGAGCTGCTCCTGCACTCTCTCAGAAATATTAGAGCTAGGAAACCGACCTTTGAATGCACCACAGACAGAGTTGAGAGAGAAGAAACCCCAAGTAGGACCCATGATTACGAGACCGCTAGACAGGAGAATGCAAAATTAATTAATAAAGCCGCACGCAGAGCCATGACTAGGACGGACAGTGAAAGTGACAAGGGAGACGGTGCCATGGCCCCACCAGTACTTAAAGCTAAACAGGCTAAAAAAGGAGCTAAATTCTTTTCTGACGATAGTAGTGATGACGGAGACCAGGAGCCTGGGGAAACTAGACCGGTGGCAAGCAGAACCAGGTCTCAGACAAAATCCATGTTCCCTCTGAGACCAGGACGAGGCGCAGCTGGGGAGTACCATCTTTTTTCTGTAAGTGACATGCAGACTATAAAAGACAAAATGCCTCCATTGTGTCAAGGAGCTGGAAACTGGATTTCCAGTCTCAACACATGGTTTACAGGTCATGATGTGGCGATGGGTGACGTCCGGGCAGTGTTGGCAGCATGCAGTAAACCATGGGAGAGAGATGCTATTGAAAGACAAGCTGGTACTGCTGATGTTTGTGATTCTTCCAGATTTGGCCAATATGCAAATGCCTGGTATGAAGCACTAAGGGAGAACTTTCCAACCCCGCTGTCTTCTGCCCCTCGTGAGTTAACTTGGCTGGAGTCTGAGGACCCACTTGTATTTTATGACAGGTGTGTGGCCAAGTGGATGGACACTGTAGGGAGACACCCTCACAAGGTCAGTGAAGTCATGCCTTTTAGAGCAGCTACTTTGAATGGTTTACCAGAAACCATACGCTCAAAACTTGAGGACAGCCCAGATAATATTAACCCAGATTCAGCGCAGTGGAAGACAAATGTAATCTTTCACATTAAGCGATATGTTGAAAATAAAACTAAAGAAAGAAAGAGTGTTGAAGATATGACTTGTCAACTTTTGAAGTTACAGCTTAGTGAAGCTAGAAATAAAGCCACCCAAAATAAAAAAGGAACTAGTAATCAGATGACTAATATATGCACAATACAATACAATACAATTTATTCTTGTATAGCCCTAGGTCACAACAGAAGTCATCTCAGAGGACTTAACAAAACCATTGAAATCACCAACACAGGTCAGAGAATCAACAGTTAAAACACATGAAGAATATAAAGCACACACAGAAGAAAATGTCCATACATGTTGTAGAATGCTAAAGTGTCCTGATCATCACCAATCCTTTCTGTTGGACACTAACTGTCCAACAAGACCCTCCTGCATCGACAAGGAAAAACTCTTAAAAAACCCAGTGGGAAAAAGTGAGAAACCTTGGAGGAGAACTCAGGGAAACCCACAGGGAGGGAGACCCATATGAGAAAGGGATCCGCTCCTCCGGACGGACAGACTAATGATCTAGGACCTAAGCTAGCTACAGAACGTGGACCAGTGGACGCTGAACGTGGACAGGTCCGGTGCAGGACTGAAGCACTCCCAGGCGGGTCGGGCGGGGCAGTCCGCAGGTGTAGATGGAAGAGGCCAGGCTCAGAGATCCCGTCATCGTACCATGAAACAGACAATGGGACAACGGGTGAATAGCAATGAACAAACTACAGTCAGAATCCTAAAAATGCTAAACAGATAAAGTAGGAAGGAGGAGAGGATAGTGCTCAAGTTACCATACTTCTCCCAGCAAACTGACTCCCTATGCAGCTTGACTAACACTCTGAGGAGTTTAACCTTCTCCGAGTCTTACCTTCCTAGCCATATGCTAAACTAAAGAGGACTGTTTTAAACCTAGCCTTGAATAAAGAATAACATACAGCATAATATATAACATAATATACAACATAACACAATACATTATTGAATAATATATAACATAATATATAACATAATACAGCATATATATATAATATATACACTACATATTATATATTACCTAATTATATGCTAAATTAAAGTAAAGTGCTTTAAGCCTGGCCTTGAATGTGGAGACCGTATCTGCTTCCTTAACATAAATGGGAAGCTGATTCCACAGTAAAGGAGCTTGGTAGCTAAATGCTCTGCCACCAACAGTGACCTTTGAGACCTTAGGGACCACCAGACGTCTGGCGTTTTGTGAGCGCAACGCTCGACCTGGTTGATACGACACTAACGTGTCTTGGAGATAAGAAGGAGCCAAGCCATTTATGGCTTTATATGTTAAGAGTAGGATTTTAAACTTTATTCTGTACTCCACAGGGAGCCAGTGGAGTGATTTTAACACCGGAGTTATGTGCTCCCTCCTTTTGGTACCTGTTAAGATCCTAGCTGTGTATTCTGAACGAGCTGGAAGCTCTTCAAAGAGGCTTTAGGGCACGCTGCCAGTAAAGCGTTACAGTAGTCGAGCCTTGAGGTGACAAACGCGTGAATGAGTTTTTCGCGTCACTTTTAGGAAGGAAATTCCTAATTTTAGCGAGTCGTAAGATCCTAGCTGCTGTATTCTGAACGAGCTGGAAGCTCTTCAAAGAGACTTTAGGGCACACTGCCAAGATCCTCACAGTGTTACTGGGTATAATACTGACATTATCGAGAGTAACCATCTGGTTAGTGAGGGAGTCACGCAGGCGCTTCGGACCGAGTAGGATCACTTCTGTCTTCTCCGGGTTGAGAAGTAGGAAGTTAAGAGTCATCCACATTTTAAGGTCCTTTATGCAGCACTGAGCTTTTCCAGCTGATCTGTCTGATTTGGCTTCATCGACAGATAAAGCTGTGTGTCATCTGCAGCAGTGGAAATTAATTCCATGCTTTTTAATAATGTTTCCTAACGGCAGCATGTAGAGAGTAAAAAGAATCGGTCCGAGTACCGAACCCTGCGGCACACCGAATTCCACTCCAGAATAAGGTGACGAGTTCTGATTTACGTTGACGAAGTGATATCGATCTGATAAATAGGATTTAAACCAGCCAAGGGCTGTTCCTCTAAGACCTATATCACATTCTAGCCTCTGCAGTAGAATGCTGTGGTCTATTGTGTCAAATGCAGCACTAAGGTCCAGTAGGACCAGCACTGACACTTGTCCATTATCGGCAGCTAGTAGTAAGTCATTTGTGACTTTGACTAGTGCCGTTTCAGTCTATGATGAGCTCTGAATCCTGATTGAAAGACTTCAAACATATTATTTTCCTGCAGGTGGCAGCGAAGCTGCTCAGCTATAAGTTTTTCCAGGATTTTAGATATAAAAGTGAGGTTTGAGATCGGTCTGTAGTTTGTAAGTATTTCTGGGTCCAGGTTTGTTTTCTTCAGAAGGGGTTTGATTACCGCGGTTTTAAAAGCTTGTGGGACATAGCCACATTGTATGGATGTGTTTATTATATTTACGATAGGCTCAATTATCAAAGGAAGTATGTCTTTGAAGAGCCATGTCGGGACTGCGTCTAACATGCAAGTTGAGGCTTTTGAGGATGTGACCACAGAGATCACCTCTGCTTGGCTCACAGCCATGAATTTATTAAGGCCCACTGAAGAGTCTAAGTGGGAAGTCACGTATGCCGCTTCAACCTGTCCACCACTAACAGCAGGAGCAACCTCCTCCAGTTTGTCACGGATGGATGTAATTTTATTATTAAAGAAGTGGAGAAAGTCGACACTGCTCAGTGAGCTTGGAATTTTAGGCTCGATTGCGCTATGGCAGTTTGTGAGTTTAGCGACGGTACCAAACAAAAATCTACTGTTGTTTTTATTCGCTTCTATTAAAGTTGAATAGTATTGAGTTCGAGCCCCGCGAAGGGCCTTCTTATAGTTTCGGAGACCTGCTTTCCACTCCCTGTGGACAGGCTCCGAGTGGGAGTGGCGATATAGCCTCTCCAATTTTCTGACGTCCTGTTTTAAAGTGTGGAGTTGAACACTGTACCAGGGCGACGATGATCTAATCCTAATGGTTTTCTGTTTTAAAGGAGCTGCTGCATTTAATGCAGATTTTAAAGACTCCATAGTGTTGCCCACCGTTTGGTCAATGACTGAGGGACTGCAGCTGCTGTGAACAGGTTCACCTGCAGCAGTATTCAACATAGGCTGTATTAGTTCTTTGAACCTTGTGATAGATTTATCATTTAAGGTTCTTTTCATTATGGTTTTATCTTGCGGGACAGGAAAGTCCTCCAAAGCGAGATCAAACGTGATCAAGAAATGGTCAGACAGCAACGAGCTTTGACGCTGGATGTCAACATTGGAGACATCACAGCCGTAGGTCAGGACAAGGTCCAAGGTGTGGTTATGAATGTGAGTAGGTTCCTCGACATTCTGAGTAAAACCAACACCATCTAGTACGGCGCTGAAAGCTTTGTTTAAGCTGTCAGTGCTGTCGTCCACATGTATATTGAAGTCTCCAGCTATAACTATGTTTTCCCATTCCAAAACTAGGTTTGAAATGAAGTCAGAGAATTCTGTTCGGAACTCGCTGTAAGGACCAGGAGGTCGGTATAAAACTATAAATAGTACTGCTTTTTGTTTTCTCCACCCAGGACAGGTGATTGAAAGTGTTAAGTTTTCAAACGAGTGAAAAGCATTGTTGGTTTTGGGACTAAGAACCAAGTTGGTGTGTGATATAATCGCAACACCACCGCCGCGACCTGTAGCTCTGGCTTTCTGGTAGTTCTGGCTTTCTGGTAGTTCTGGCTTTCTGGTAGTTCTGGCTTTCTGGTAGTTCTGTCTTTCTGGTAGTTCTGGCTTTCTGGTAGTTCTGTCTTTCTGGTAGTTAACATGCGTCGGAGGAGTGCACTCATTCAATCTAACGTAGTCGTCCTGTTGGAGTCAAGTCTCCGAGAGCGCAAACAGATCCAAGCCCTTGTCTATAATAAGTTCGTTTATGAGAAGCGTTTTAGACAGAGGTCTCTCTCTGGTCTCTCTCTCTGGTCTCTCTCTGGTCTCTCTCTCTGGTCTCTCTCTCTGGTCTCTCTCTCTGGTCTCTCTCTCTGGTCCTCTCTCTGGTCTCTCTCTCTGGTCTCTCTCTCTGGTCTCTCTCTGGTCTCTCTCTCTGGTCTCTCTCTCTGGTCTCTCTCTCTGGTCTCTCTCTGGTCTCTCTCTCTGGTCTCTCTCTGGTCTCTCTCTCTGGTCTCTCTGGTCTCTCTCTGGTCTCTCTCTCTGGTCTCTCTCTGGTCTCTCTCTGGTCTCTCTCTGGTCTCTCTCTGGTCTCTCTCTGGTCTCTCTCTGGTCTCTCTCTGGTCTCTTTCTGGTCTCTCTCTGGTCTCTCTCTGGTCTCTCTCTGGTCTCTCTGGTCTCTCTCTGGTCTCATGACTTGTCCCCAGCACCATGTTTAAGTGAAACAGACACCTCTGTCTTAGATCTAACTCTCTCTTCTCTCTTTTCTCTTGCCTCTCTCTCTCTCTCTTTCTTCTCTCTCTCTCTTTCTTCTCTCCTCTCTCTTTCTCTCTCTCTTCTCTCTCGTCTCTTTCTTCTCTCTCCTCTCTCTCTCTCTCTCTCTCTCTCTCTCTCTCTCTCTTCTCTCTCTCGTCTCTCTCTCTCTCCTCTCTCTCCTCTCTCTTCTCTCTCTCTCTTCTCTCTCTCTCTCACCTCTCTCTTCTCGCTCTCTTCTCTCTCTTCTCTCTCTTCTCTCTCTTCTCTCTCCCTTCGCAGGCATCAGACGACCCTAAAAAGAAGAACAAATCCTCGGGTAAATCTGGTCGCCGCGGTCGCCCTCTGGGTACCACAAAGTTGGCCGGGTACCGCACCAGCACCGGGCGTCCTCTGGGCACCACACGAGCCGCCGGCTTCAAGACCAGTCCGGGGCGACCGCTCGGAACCACCCGAGCCGCGGGCTACAAGGTGAGTCCAGGCAGGCCCCCGGGGAGCATCAAGGGCCTGTCGCGTCTCAACAAACTGTCCGCGTACGGCTCGTCCTGCAGCGGCGCCGCCTTCCCCTAACCCCCTCCCCCACCACAAGGAGCTGCTGTGTGACATCAACCAACACAAGGAGCTGCTGTGTGACATCAACCAACACAAGGAGCTGCTGTGTGACATCAACCAACACAAGGAGCTGCTGTGTGACATCAACCAACACAAGGAGCTGCTGTGTGACATCAACCAACACAAGGAGCTGCTGTGTGACATCAACCAACACAAGGAGCTAATGGGCGAGATGCCGAGACACAAGGAGCTAATGGGCGAGATGCCGAGACACAAGGAGCTAATGGGCGAGATGCCGAGACACAAGGAGCTAATGGGCGAGATGGCGAGCAAAGACGGGCTGCGCGAGTCGCCGTGTGACGAGAAGACGCCCACAGAGTGAAGCAGAGCGACTCTTTTGTAACAAACTCTGGAGGGTTTTCTGAACTGGTCGCCTCCGCTCACCTGGTCCCTGACGATGGTGTTTGTCCAAGAGTGAAGCTCAGACGCAGACAGTGGAAATAATGACACAGAGAGAGAGAGAGCAGAAAGAGACCAGAGAGAGACCAGAGAGAGACCAGAGAGAGACCAGAGAGAGACCAGAGAGAGACCAGAGAGAGACCAGAGTGAGACCAGAGTGAGACCAGAGTGAGACCTGCCTGGTTCAGGGTCACAGAGTTGAGAAGTCTCGACAAACTACAAACATGGAGGACGTCTGGGTTCTGGTCCTGTTATATCAGTGTCCTGGTCTGACCATGTGTAAACTCTGGTCCCTGGTCATGTCCTACATGTACGTCCGGGTCTGATCCAGTGTGGGCGGGTCCCGGCTCAAAAGTGTCCAATGTAACGTGCGCTGACACGCTGCAATACCACCCCGGGCCTGTGGGGGTGGACCCGGAACCCAGGATAAGAATTAGCCAATGCTAACGTACAGCATCTTCTGACCTCTTGAAAACAGCTTTACAGGATGGTCCAAAAGTGGTTCTTGGTCCAAAAGTGGTTCTTGGTCCAAAAGTGGTTCTTGGTCCAAAAGTGGTTCTTGGTCCAAAAGTGGTTCTTGGTCCAAAAGTGGTTCTTGGTCCAAAAGTGGTTCTTGGTCCAAAAGTGGGTCTTGGTCCAAAAGTAGTTCTTGGTCCAAAAGCGGTTCTTGGTCCAAAAGCGGCTCTTGGTCCAAAAGTTGTTCTTGGTCCAAAAGTGGCTCTTGGTCCAAAAGTGGTTCTTGGTCCAAAAGCGGTTCTTGGTCCAAAAGCGGCTCTTGGTCCTAAAGCGGTTCTTGGTCCAAAAGCGGTTCTTGGTCCAAAAGCGGCTCTTGGTCCAAAAGTTGTTCTTGGTCCAAAAGTGGCTCTTGGTCCAAAAGCGGTTCTTGGTCCAAAGCTACGTTCCAGATCAGACCAGTCTAGTTTAGTCGCTCTGGACTTTTGAATGCACTCGTTAAATGAATGGGGCTAATGCAGCTGACGCACAAATGTGTTTTTCCATATTTTCCAGCGGCCATTTTGAAACTGCCCACAGACGGTGAAAGTGATGTCACATTAGTTTGAGCATTTGTCTATGGTCTGATCCTATTGGCTGCAGTTTCCTCGGTTGAATCCCCTCCGACCAATCAGAGAGCGGGGGAGGCGGGTGTTGTAGGTCGGTGTCGGAGTCAAGAGTTTGTGCTGAATTTGCTGGTTGTAGTTTGTCGGAGAATGTGATAGTAAAATAATCTGTTCTGGTTCAATCCAAATATCAAGAAACTGAAGCCGGAGCAAGAGGAATGTTTAGTAAATGTCATTGAAGCAAATATGTTGTGACTCTACTCCCCACGGGCTCCGTTAGCGGCAAAGAAGATGGCTAAAGCTAGGCTAATGCTAAAGCTAGGCTAATGCTAAAGCTAGGCTAGGCCTCAGAGTCCCAGCAGGAGGCCAGTCCCTGTGCTCCTCTGGTTCATTATTTCCACTGTCTGAAATCGGTGTTTTTAAAGTTAAAAATGTATCAAAGGGACTTGTAGCATTCCAGCGGATCAAAGGGCCTCGCCTCCTCTTGTCATCGTAGCACTTTTTGGTCCAGTTTTTCCACGTGTTTGTTTCGGGGCAGTGCCTTGCTCAGCGGCACAATAACACTGTACATACTTCACATAAACACGACGCACTTAACCGACTTTTGTAGTTTTTCACAGTTTTCGTCTCGTTCTCGTTTCACCGACGTCTCGCTGAAAATGTGTTTTTGTTTGACCTTTGACCTGAATGTTGCACAGTTTGGCTTCAAAAAGGTTTATCGGAGGATTTTCTACTTCCGGGTGGATCATCAAGACTATTGGTCCTCCCAACTGTCAATCACTCTGGACCAGAGGGGGCGGGTCTGTCCTGACACTCTTTACCTTTATCTGAACAAAAGTCTAAAAACACCATGTTTATAATGTTCAGTTATCCAATCAGAGAGCAGGAGGAGCTGCTAGTTATTGTTTTGAGAGTCCGTTATTAAAATAGTTCTAGAGTTGAATATGCTGCTATCCAGAATATATACAGTGCCTTGCGAAAGTATTCGGCCCCCTTGAACCTTTCAACATTTCGCCACATTTCAGGCTTCAAACATAAAGATATAAAATTTAATTTTGTTGTCATGAATCAACAACAAGTGGGACACAATCGTGAAGTGGAACGAAATTTATTGGAAAATTTAAACTTTTTTAACAAATAAAAAACTGAAAAGTGGGGCGTGCAATATTATTCGGCCCCTTGCACTAATACTTTGTAGCGCCACCTTTTGCTGCAATTACAGCTGCAAGTCGCTCGGGGTATGTCTCTATCAGTTTTGCACATCGAGAGACTGGAATTCTTTCCCATTCTTCCTTGCAAAACAGCTGGAGCTCAGTGAGGTTGGATGGAGAGCGTTTGTGAACAGCAGTCTTCAGCTCTTTCCACAGATTCTGGATTGGATTCAGGTCTGGACTTTGACTTGGCCATTCTAACACCTGGATACGTCTATTTGTGAACCATTCCATTGTAGATTTGGCTTTATGTTTTGGATCATTGTCCTGTTGGAAGATAAATCTCCGTCCCAGTCTCAGGTCTTTTGCAGACTCCAACAGGTTTTCTTCCAGAATGGTCCTGTATTTGGCTCCATCCATCTTCCCATCAATTTTAGCCATCTTCCCTGTCCCTGCTGAAGAAAAGCAGGCCCAAAGCATGATGCTGCCACCACCATGTTTGACAGTGGGGATGGTGTGTTCAGGGTGATGAGCTGTGTTGCTTTTACGCCAAACATATCGTTTTGCATTGTGGCCAAAAAGTTTGATTTTGGTTTCATCTGACCAGAGCACCTTCTTCCACATGTTTGGTGTGTCTCCCAGGTGGCTTGTGGCAAACTTTAAACCAGACTTTTTATGGATATCTTTGAGAAATGGCTTTCTTCTTGCCACTCTTCCATAAAGGCCAGATTTGTGCAGTGCACGACTGATTGTTGTCCTATGGACAGACTCTCCCACCTCAGCTGTAGTTATCTGCAGTTCATCCAGAGTGATCATGGGCCTCTTGGCTGCATCTCTGATCAGTCTTCTCCTTGTTTGAGATGAACGTTTGGAAGTATTATTTGTTTGTTTGTTTGGAAGTAGTATTAGTACTATTATGTACAAAACTGATGAAAATATGTGTATACCTTGTTCAGATGACAGTGAAACCTCCTACAGATTCAGCCCAGACTGCTGCTGCTGCTGTGAGAGGTCCTTCTCCTACGTCATCGCTGCCATTTTGGCGCCCCCTAGCGTTTCTATGCGGAAGTGAAAAGGTGCCACTTCAAAGCAGTTTTTTAACATAATTCATCTGAACATGTCAAAATGAACACCCGAAATATTATAAACACATATTGTAGTTATATATTCTGGATAGCAGCATATTAAATTCTAGAACTACTTATAGAAATAATGAACGTTCTTCTGCTGTGGAGCTGTGTAATACAATAAGATTAAATATTCAAATATTTAAATTAATAAACAAACAAACTTCGAATATGATTGTTTCTTTCAAAAGTCAAAGCCCTTTGTAAAACCTCTGAAGCTAAGCAGGGCAGGGCCTGGTCAGTTCTGTGATGGGAGACCTCTGGGAACAGTTTAGGCCAAACTGTGGAACGTTCTCCTCAAAGAAGAGCCCATTGCGTTTCCACGGTAACCCACTCTTTTGTGCAATAATAACTTTGTGTTGTTTTTGTGACTTTGATACAATTTTTTTGTCTAATGTTATTTTGTACAAAAGGTTTTTATTCTGTTTTTTTTCTTCACTTTTGATGTAAAGTTTAAACCCAACGACAGAAAAACATCCATCTCTTTAACCAAAGAACAGCGTCACGTCAGAATCTGAGAAGGGGGAGAGAGAGGGGGGAGGGAGGGGGGAGAGAGGGAAGGAGGGAGAGAGAGAAGGAGGGGGGGAGAGAGAAGGAGGGAGAAAGGAGAGGAGCGAGAGAGAGGGGGGGGGGAATGGGGTTCAAAGTTCAAAGGGAAGCTGGGAGTTATTTTGGTGTGACTGATGCTGAAACTGCTGTGATAATCCCTGTTTCCACCCACCCCCTATCCCCGCCCCCCGCTGTTTAAAGGGACAGTACGTCATGTTTTCTATTGTATGTGTTCCAGATAACAGGTCACATTCACACGACAGAGTTTAACTTCATCTTTATGATTTTCAAACGTTGTCCAATCAGAGAGCAGAATGGGTCAGCAGCAGGGTAGGGTAGGGTAGGGTAGGGTAGGGTAGGGTAGGGTAGGGTAGGGTAGGGTAGGGTAGGGTAGAGTAGGGTAGGGTAGAGTAGGGTAGGGTAGGGTAGAGTAGGGTAGGGTGGGGTAGGGTAGGGTAGGGTAGGGTAGAGTAGGGTAGGGTAGGGTGGGGTAGAGTAGGGTAGGGTAGAGTAGGGTAGAGTAGGGTAGGGTAGTAGTAGGGTAGGGTAGGGTAGAGTAGGGTAGGGTGGGGTAGGGTAGGGTAGGGTAGGGTAGAGTAGGGTCGGGTAGGGTGGGGTAGAGTAGGGTAGGGTGGGGTAGGGTAGGGTGGGGTAGAGTAGGGTAGGGTGGGGTAGGAGAGGGTGGTGCAGGTGGAAACAGGTGGAAACAGGCCTCTCTTATGAAACCGAACAGAAGGAAACCAATCCTAAACTTCTGAAATGAAAAGAAAATGTTGAATTCCAGTCGTTTTAACTTATTTTTTCTTCTGCTTTACTCACTCGAGGTGAGAGCCACAGTGAGAGAAACCTTAGTCTGTACAGGTTTGAAGACTGTAAACTGCATGATTGTCGTGGAATGTTCAGATGTTGTAATAAACTTCAGTGTCACAAACTCTGGGCTTTTTATCACTACTGCAAGGTTATTGGTATGGCACAGGTCATACACACATGACGTCATCACAGACATGACATCACAGACATGACATCATCACAGACATG